TTGATTCAGTGGCTTTTTCAGCCATAAAACTATGATGGAGGAAGTAAACCTAAATTAAGTTTTAAACACATTAGCCTCCTGTAAGCAGTCTCAAATTGACTCAGGTGTGAAGTAAAATTTCTGAGAGACAGTAAACAACAGTTGTATCTTTTAAATAAAACAAAGTGTATTGGACACAAAGCCTTGAAGAGGGTCACATTTTTTATTTTTTAGGGAAAAAAAAGAAATGAAATAGTGTTCTTGCTTTGCGGAGGAAAGAAACGCTACCATTTAAGTGAAAGAAGAATACTAGTGTAGGACCTCAGTTTACAGACATTTGTCTCTCCTTGGAAAACAAAAGAAAGATTTGCTATATCGTTCAGACACTTACGATGAAAATGAAAAAAAGTCTATGCAGTGTAAAAAATGAACATTTCAAAAATACAATTTTTAAACTGGGTTTATAAAACCACCAAGAAGATCCAGTTTGGTGAAACACTGGAACAGGTTGTAGATGCCCCACCCCTGGCCACATTCAAGGTCAGGTTGGACGGGGCTCTGAGCAACCTGATCTGGTTGAAGATGTCCCTGCTCATTGCAGGGGGGTTGGACTAGATGGCCTTTAAAGGTCCCTTCCAACCAAAACTATTCTATGATTTTATGATCATTTTGACATCAATGGGAACAAAACAAAAATAAGGAAAAGATCCACACCCCCCCCCCAATTCCAGTCTTATTTGCAGAGAAATTTATAGTAATGACTTCCTTTGCTATTTTTGTGGTAGGTCTAAAAGGCTAGCTGATGAAGAACCAAGAACGCCTGATATTTATATGCTATACTTCTATTAAGAACATATAAGATGTCTTCCAGTAAGATGATGATGGTTGTGTTAGGATACCCGAAGATACTATGGGATTCTGAAGCAACTTAGGGGGGCTAATTTTTATGTATTATTACACATGAAGATCAATACTGGACCGGATTAGCATCATAGTACCTGTGATATTTTGCTGCTAAGGAAAAAAATGTAAACCAGTTAACTATCCATAGATAAGACTTGACAGTTAGTATAGAACCTCATACCATCTATACAGTTACCTTATTTTGCACTAGGTGAAACCAGGAGAAAATAAGATTAAGTGGAGGAAATAACACTTGTGGACTCAATGGCTTTCGTTCTTTCAGGCTTTTATACTATATACTAGCTACAAATCCCAAGATTTAGCATCCAAGATATTTGGTATTTGATGTCACATTTATTTAAGAAAACGTTGTGAAAATTCATACCACGTTCTGAAAGAAAAATTGTCCAAGGAAGAAGACAGAGATCGGAATGTGAGATTAATCTATTAAATCACTGACTTCACAGAGGTTCCACTACTCCAGCTGCATCATAACCATGCAAACATGGACTGTTTCCTGTCTACCTTCTGTTGCATAAGAGTTCACTTATAAATTATGATAATCTTTAACTACTGTGTATAGTGGCAGAATTCCATCTTCAAGTACCTACTTCAATGCTTCAAATGAACACACTTAGCAAAATTTTCCACTTCTGATCATAAGAACTGCAAGAAGAGACCTTCAGAGATTGGTAGCTCATGAAAACAGTTTCCTGTAACTCAGAAGATGATGCACGCTTCTTATTCATTGCATTGCAACTTATGGGCAAATATAGTGGAACAAAAAGTATTGCCTTGTATTTCCCTTATGGCCTTATGAAAAATGGCTTATGGCTATGTCCTTTTTTTTTGGTTCTTAATAATAATTAAATTCCCTTAAAAATAAGCTGGGTTGTTAGCTGATAAAATACAGTCATGTTCCTAAAATCTATTCCACAGACATTTTCATTAATGACATCTAGTATTATGTCAGCTTGTTATCATGAGCTCCCTTACAATTCTGTTAAATAACCTTCTCTATCTGCTCGAAAGAACACTGTAGTTATAATCCTTCTAAACAACACAAGTCTATCTTTGGACTTACATAAAAAAATTGGGTCTGATCTACTTTCAATACCTGGGACTTCTATTGGAAAAATGCCCCCTACCCTCTCAATTTATGGACACTGGAAAAAAGATGTCTTTTGTTAAGTTAAAAAAATTCTGTAGTCCCAAACAAAGCAAAAGCTGTACCCTAGAAGGCAGGCTTCAAAGACATTGAGAGAGAAAATTCCCTTCTGTTTTTCTCCTGGGCTACACACAATCTGGTCTTGTCAGGCACAGGTTGTGTCAGTGTAATAAGGTAAGGAAAATGGCACAAATGCAAATGCATGAAAGCAAGAAAAAAAAAATTTATAACATTGGTAACCCCTGAATGTTTTAGATATAGCAACTCTTATTTCAGGAGAAAAATACTACCACAGAAGAGTGATCATCATAGATATTGAAGAGCTGTTGCATAGTGTCTAGGTTTTTATGCAAGATTAAGGGAAGAGTTCTATCAGTTGAACTTTGCTACAGTTACATTACTTCCAATGTTGACATGCTTTTTCTAATGGAAAGCTGTCTTTTTCTGGTTTAAAAGATAAACGACTCCAAGCAACATAAAATAAAGAGAAAAGATTTCTGGTCTTGAACACCAGGGTTCTCTACATAGGGATTTACCCTAGTAATGAGTATATTCTGCTAGGGTATCACGGTAATACACATTACCTAGATACAGTAAGATTAATAAGCACTGCACTTTGTGTAAGTATAAGGCAGTGTGTTTTCAGTATTGTAAAAATTTTAAGGTCTACTGATCACCAAAATGGGTTAGAAGCGCAGGGGGGTTTAGGGTCAGTAAGAGACCCTTAATGCCACAATAGCTCTTATTTAGTAGAGAATTTCTTTTTTGATATGTTAACCACCAAACACAGGAACTGCCATGCTGAAAGGGAAATAATTGACTATGTTAAGCTGAATCAATGCTTTTCACTAAAAATTAGAAAAAGAATGTGAAAGTGAAGAGGTTGCTTATTATACTGCTCAAACTTCTCTATAAGGTGAGTTCCTATTTCATTAGGAGACTGAGAAATCAGTAGTGTCTGTAATATTATTATTACAAACAAAACTTATCCATAGGCCATATGGATAACTTCAACAAATATGTAAATAAACAAATTTTTACAAGAATTTATAGCCCAGTTCAAATGGACAGTATAGTTAACTTTCATATAACACATACGGGGTGATATTGTAAAGTTGAAGCAATAAACCTTGCAAGTTCTGTGTAGGGGACTGTCTAGTAATATGCCTTTAGGTGGGACTCTGGAAAGGAAACAAATTGCCAGATAACAGATGCAGTTTGTGGTATAAAGACTGGAACAGAAGATGAGAAGAAAGACAGGGAGTCTCTTAAGGAGAAAGCTTGAAACAAGTAGTAGAACTGAGACCTTCTGTGGTATATAAATGAAGTGGAATTACTCTGTGTATTCCTGAAAGTAAGAAAAACTTGAAGCTGAGAGTAACAAGTGCTAACGAAAAGGCTACAAATTGGAAATGACAGTTGAAGGCAAACTGATATAGCAGAAGTTGAGATGGATGAGGCAAAAGAGACAGATACAGAGAAATGTTATACTGATAAGGCTTAAGAAAGAAGCTTCTATAAGTACTGCAAACAGAACCAGCAAGGAATGAAACCATTTTCACACAGAAAAGGAAACACCAGACCAGTACTGATAACCACATGGAGGTTGAGCATGTGAATGATGAGTGGGATTGCAGAACAGTCAATGGTGGCAGGAAAGGAAGGACATGACAAATTTGGGGAAAAGCGCAGGATTTTTTTTTACAAGTTGAACTTAAGGTTTCTTGTGAGACAGCTAGTAGTCTGAAAGGAAGCACACTGTATCTGACTACCTCCAGAAGAGCAGCTGAAACAGACAAAATGGATAAAGTTGCTCAGTGAGAATATAAGGAAGAAAAATAGAGACTCATAAGCGAAAGTGTAGGAACTATCACTAAAAAAAGCAGTGACTGAGATACAAAAAATTTGAGAAACACAGGAAAAATAAAGGCAGGCATGACCTTTTTATTAAGGAAACAACAGCAGCTTAACTGAATGGATAATTTCTTTGAAAAGATGTATCTAGGTCTCTAGGTAATAAGATACCTGGATATTTCCAGGGTATTAGTGATACCTGGAAGAGAACAGAAGCTGTTGGTATGCTTATATTGGATTTGCTTTTTATTTTAAAGGGGATAGAAAAGCCAAATTGACACAGACCTTCAAATAATTAGATTTAGGTAATCTGAGTTTTTGAAAAAGCATGGTACTGAGAGGAATTTACTTGTTTTGAAGAAAAAAAAGGAAAACTAACAAAATCTTTTGTTGTGGTCTCCTACTCTGGCAATGAAAGCATCAGAAAATTGATTGGGTCTTCATCTGTGCAGGCTGATTAAAGCATAACCCTACTGTCTGGAACAATATGGAAGGCAGCTAGAGGAAATAAAATCCACAGAAAACAAAACACACTTAGTCAAAAAATATACATACGTATCAAGATATTGATGTCTTATGCAATAATTACAATGAAATATTAAAACACAGAAAAAGTCACATGTGAAAACTAGTAAGCTTTTGCTATTAAGCAGCATAACATTCTGACAGAAATTGCCTAAGGAACATAGGAGAGCACTGAGGATGCTGTAGTAAGTCCTTACTCAATCGCTTTGACATACATTTCAATCCTTACAACATTTTTATTTGATTTGCTTTGTCAAGCATAGAAGAATTATGCCAAAGATTGTATTAAAATGGAAAATTCTTTGCTTTTTTCCAATTTTATTTTGATCAAAGCTGTGTAAGCTCCTGTTGAGTAACAATTTGAGGAATTTAATACTCTGTATATGTACGCACAACAATGTTACATTCTACTATCAATTTAGATTAACTGTGTGCATTTATAATGTTAACAAAGTATTTAGTGAGAGGGTATTTTTGAACTCTTGTTTTGTAGGCCAGGCTGTGTCAGAAGAACAGAACTCTGCAGTAAAACATGCACAGGATTATATAACTTTGAAGGAAAATTTCTTACCTCCAGCAACTAGCCCAGACTCTCCTAACTGAATTGCTACCCCGAAGCCACCGAGCTTTACTGGGGCTGAATTCTCTTTTGAGGCAAGCAGTACACAGTGTGGCTGAAAAGACAAAAACCCAGACAAATTATTATATTATTTGAGAAATACAATTTGCATTTTAGAATTTATTTTCATAAATTTGCAAACAGAAGATAGACTCTCTGGGGTTTTTTTGGAAGAATTTCTTAATTTCAGATTTTTTTCCTGGCATGGACTCCTTCATTGGTTTCCCTTTCAAATGTCCGAGGCACAGCAAAATCCTTTCAGGACTTAGCAGAACTCAAAAGGAACACAATGTGGAATCATAATAAAATGGAGATTAAAATTAGAAACCTATAATTTCTTACCTGTTATTACTTTTTCTTTTTACCTTTCAGTCTTAAGCCTTAACACTGCTTCAATTCTCCAGCAGAAACATCCTGCCCATGATATACTTTGTGTGATCTTATCTTTCACACAGAGAACTTAAAACACTATTTTGAGCCTTAATCAGAATCAGAATTCACTGATCACTTTCCAGCTCCAGAAAAGGAACATGCCTGTGGTGTTTCTAATAAATATTCCAGTGATGAGGGGGAAATGTTTAGGTTTCTAAACTGGATTCCAGGCACAGTCTTTACACTGTGAGATGTAATGTATATGTATAAAAACGGAATAGTAGTATATAACAATTTGGATGGATACTGACTGGTGTAGGAGGAAGCAACATACAGTCAAAATCTATTAGAACAAAATCTAGTATTTAATACACATAACCAAACTACTGCATTTAACATGGAATGACTTCCTGCATTTACTCAAAGCCTCTCTTTGCAGTCAAGCATATTATTTAAAAGGAAGAACATCGAATTTGTATACTACTCCTTGAGAATACATTACTGCTTACATTACAAAACTAGGAACTGAAAATAGTGCAAAGGAGCTACAAGCAGCTCAGTGTGACAACCTGTAAAGTCATCATCTGTAACCACCCGTGTTTTCTATTAAAACAACAGTTTCAAGTGTATGAGAACAAGCACCTCCAAGTAAGAATGCATAGCCTGTTTACAATTCTAACTGAAACCTGCAGAATCCCATAAAAGCTTGATTCCTAAACAGATGATATATTAAGAAAGTTAACATGGAAATTCTTATTTCAAATGCTAAGGAGATTACTAAGTCAAGACAACGTTCTTGAGATGATCATTAAATTTAGGCTACCTTTTATCAGGATTTATTAATTATTGCAATTTATAAACGTAATTTTCAATCCCTTGCATCCCATTTTAAATAGTATTACCAGGTGATATCATCTCTGAATATTGCATTTCACTTCTGCCTTATTGAAATTGTTAAACTACACACTTTGGGCACTTTCACATTCTCTCATTGCTGTCATTTTGAGTGAAAAAGATCAACTCCAAATTTCTAACATCAGGCAAGGAGGAAGGTAGATGGGAGAACTACACCAACATAAACAAAATGTACCATTTCACTGTGGTGTTGATTTCTTTTTACCCTACATTTGAAAAAGTGATACCATTTCCATAACAGTACGAAAAAGAAGTCAGGCTGTACTGACGTAACTGTCATCCAAAAAGGAAGCCACTGACAACTGCTCACCAGAAACAAAGTTTCTGAGAAAAAAAATCTCCAATTCAGAGTGAAAATCAGAGAATACTTTATTATAGAACCTCTCCCAGCAAAGCTCAAATTAACAGCAAAATTGATCTTTCCAATAGACTGAGTTTTGTTAGTTAAAAATATCTTTAAAAAAAAAGCTGCAACACTAGTTAAACTTCCCCTTGTTGTTAATTGTACTGTGTCAGCTGATACTCATCACTTTCATAGAGAAGCTGGTGCTTTAGCTTTCTAATAAGAGGACCTGCATGTTACTCCTCCCTCTCTTCACCAGCGGTTTTGAAAATCAGCAAAAGTTCTCTCTCTCTCGGTAAGTGACTTCTTTTATATTTAAGCTATAGTAAAACAAACATCTATTAAAATTTCTCTTAACTGTAACAGTACTACTGACCTTCAAACCCTTTCTTAAATATACTGATGTTTAAGCACGCCTGCTTGCTTACAGATGACAAAACTTAAGATAGGTAAAAGTTATGTTTCTAATGTATCTGCAGTGTAATTAATTTTCCTCTCTCTCATTGACCTAAAACTTGTCACTATTTATGCAAGTCATGATGTCAAACATTTTTATAGAAAAGCAACATAAACAAGAAATTATAGCGGTAGATAGGTTTCAAGATGTATTTGAAAGCATGTTTTTTAAACAAACTTTTAAAATGACTTCTTGTCCTGACAATATGAAATGCCAAATATGAAAACAGAAATATTTTTAAAACTGCTAACACATCATACAAATGAAATGCAATTGCAAGATCAGCCAACTGAGGATGTTAAAATATTTTAGACTGTCCCCTCAATAATTCAGATTCTGTATGTACGTTAGGTCTTACTAAGAATTTTACCTAAAATCCTGCCATTTTCACTGCTGTAGCTGTATCACACATTTAAATGTAAATTTTCATTTTTAAGACCTAGCATGCAAATCTTGTTGTTGCTTTTTCCTTGTTACTGTTGTTAGACAACTAAGTTGAGAGTACCAAAACCACTTCTAAAGTTTTTGTGAGATTAGGGGAAAAAACCTTGCCCCTTAAAAAAAAACAAAAACAAAAACAAAAACAAACAAACAAAACCTCAATAAACTTTTATTGCTATGACATACAAATAGAGGACAAAGGTTGTATCATTACTAGTCAGTCTTAATCATCTCTCTAAACAGCTCATTGTGAGTCTACTCTCCTAAACACACACTTGTTTGGTTTTCTTTTTTTGGTCAAAGCTGACTTCTATCTTCTAGATCGTACCTTTCTCGTCAAAACTAAGCTTAGCAAAATTGAAAACTTTGAAATGAAAACAAGGAAAACAAGGAAGATGTGAAAACAATCTTTTGCTGCATTAATGTGGTTTCCAGCTAATATTAGTTTCTTTGAATAATACTGATATTTGAACAGTCAAGAAAAGGAAAAAATACTTAAATTTACATGAAGATACAAATAATTAACAACAAGCTACTGTAAAAGTACTGACTCAGTGTTACTTATAACAGATTACATACCCAAATAAATATTACTTGACAACTGCTTTTCTAATTGAAAACTAGTGAATTGCATGCAAGAGATCCTGGGTACTTGTTTAAAATCAGTATTGAGAGTTTAGAATTGCTTTGATATCTATGTACTTTGCATCAACATTGAGAATACTTCACTTAGCTATGCTTACCATTTTTTGCATCTTAATTAAAAAGTTTTCTTTGTCAGAAAGACTAATCGTAACATCAGAACTTAAAAAAATATTTGTACTTAGAGATAAAACAATAAAATTAAATTTCTAAAATTTGCAGCAAAACATAATTGCTGATTTTTAAAACAATACAAGGCAGTAATGAAGATGTAATTACAAAAATAATTATCTGTGTGAGTGCTCTGTACCATCTGTTCTTGCCTATGTCACGTGAAGAAAAACAGGGAACAGATTATTCTAGACTTACATTGTATCATGATACCCAGCTGAAAGTCCTTCTTCTACTCAGCTATACTGATACTTTGGCGCATTTACTTTTTTGAATTATTGCCTTTTATGTTTATATCACATAAGACTGTAAGCAATAAAGCAAGCAAACACGTGAAAATGGTCCCATGGCGTTCTAATTCTTAAAATTTCTCTTTGCATCCATACAGAACAGCTACAAAATTTCTCACAAATGATGGCTGCAGCTTCAGCTGATTTACTGACCCTTCTGCCATACAAGGAAGTCTTCTGGAGTAACCAAACTAACCTAGCCATAAACGCCTCGGAAATTCAAAACAATGCCAGTTGTCCCTTAGATGACAACTCACTGTCACTTACTCTGATAGTTTTTTACTCTATTATTTTTGTCCTTGGATTGGTTGGAAATATTATAGCCCTGTTTGCTTTCCTGTGCATTCATCAGAAAAGGAATTCTATTCAAGTTTACTTGCTAAATGTAGCCATTGCAGACCTTCTCCTGATCTTCTGTCTTCCCTTCCGAATACTCTACCATGTTACCAAAAACACCTGGATGTTTGGGCTGATTTTATGCAAGATGGTAGGAACTCTATTTTATATGAACATGTATATTAGCATAGTACTGTTGGGACTAATTAGTCTAGATCGCTATATAAAAATAAAGAAGTCTGTGAAGCGTCCTAAAATGTTAACTACTTCACAAAGTATACGTATTTGTTGCGTGGTGTGGGCACTTGCACTAACAGGATTTATAATAGTAGTTGCACCATCTTTCTTTGAGAGTGAGGACAGCAATTCTACTATGTGCTTTCATTACAGAAATAAACAGAAAGCAAAGACAGAAGCAATTTTAAATTATATTATTGTAATAATTTTTTGGATAGTTTTTTTCCTTTTGATACTTTCCTATGTTAAAATTGCCAAGAATCTTTTGAAAATTTCAAAGAAAAGAGCAAATTTTCCCAATGCAGGAAAATACACCCAGACGGCAAGGAATTCCTTCATTGTACTCATTATTTTCACCATCTGTTTTGTTCCATACCACGTGTTCCGGTTTGTCTACATTACATCACAGTTACAAAATCCCTCTTGTTATTGGAAGGAAATCATTCACAAATGCAATGAGGTGATGCTCGTATTTTCATCTTTTAACAGCTGCTTAGACCCAGTTATGTATTTCCTAATGTCCAGAAGTGTGCGTAAGACTGTATTCCAACTTATTTGCCGAAGACTTCATGGAGATTCAGGCCTAACTCTGGAAAGCACTTCAGAAATAAAACTTGGACAATATACACAAGACCGATTATCTACTACCACTCCCTACTCAAGTTCTTTAAAGAAGAAGGCTCTGATTTGATTGTTTAAATGAATGGATACTAGTTTCTCTCGGGAAAGAGAGAGAATGTCACCCCAGGACATCAATTTAGGATGTACCAAAAGCAATACTGTACAGCTGCTAATCTTGCCTCTTTCTTCCTGTTAAAAAATGAGAAGTCTTACTTCTGTTTGTAGA